CTGGAAAAAAAATATGTGCATATGTCAGTACCGCTTTCCTTTTCACCGCTCTGGCTTCTACCCTAATGATCATCGTCAAGATAATCGGCATCGCTGTCATTACCGTTACTGCTGTTATCAGCGTTAGTTCAGTCATTATTGTCATCACTAACATTATTAATACTATGATTATTATCCCTATCATCATCGTCGTATCATTATTCCTAATATCCGTAGCATCATCGTCATCACTATTATAGTCAACATAATCATGGAAATCACTATCAGTTTTTATTGCTGTTATCATTACTTTTATAATTTTCATAATTTTCGTCATGATTATTTTATCATCTTTTGATCATTATCGTTATTGTTATTATCATCATCATTACTATTATTATAATAATCATTACCATTAGCATTATTGTTATTATTATCATTATCTTCTTTGTTGTGTGGATGTTGTTTGCATTATTCATTTCATTTCATCATTATCATGATAATAATGATTACTATTTTTATCAGAGTCATGATTATTACCATCATTACTAATGTCATAATCATTATCATTATTATTGGTAATACTAGCATTATTATTATTATCATTATCATCATCAATGGATTTGTGCATTGTCCTCTGTAGTTCTTTGTGAATTTTGTTACATACAGATGGCTCTACGTGCGTTCAGCAGCAAGGAGTCTGTGAATAGGCCTTAGTGACCGCTCCTGATTCCCCCATTCCTTGAAATTGCGGGAGAATTTGTGTTTCTTTTCTAATGCTATTGATATCGATTCAGTTATTTTTATTGATATTATGTTTATTATATTGTTATTAAAATCTTGGTAACACTAAAGACAATGAAATAATAGAAAAGGCACTTTCCAAAAATCAAGGAAAAGGGTAAACAGGCAAGAGAGGTAGGACTAATAATTGACTCGGTGACTAAGCACTTGTAGAGCCATCTATGTGTAAATGCAATAAATAAGCTTATATTACGGTGGGCATGGCATGTATTCTTGCCATCCGTGCCAACTGGATTAACAGTATTTTTAATATCAATCCATAAATCTACTATGCGCTAATATCCTCCCCAAGCAACAACGCTTAGCTGTGCTAAGGCCGCTTACAATGACCATATCTCAGACTGCGTTCCTAAGGTCATGTTAGCATTAGATTCGGGATCACGAAAAACAATAGTATGTAAATATCTCAATATAAATGGAAAAAACGATGCATCCACACCACGGATTTTGAGAGTAGAATAGTTGTGGGTGAATCGTGTGGATTTAATCAACTGCAGAGTAAGAAATACCTAATGTTTTAAAAATGTCATTGGTAACACTGAGCAAATTGTCCGAGAGTAAAAGAAAACGATTGGGGGAAGACGCTCTTCCTTTGTCTTTCACGAGAACCTTCCACAAAAATATCATTACCACGACTTTTCTGCTTAAGGCTACGCTAATATATTTTATCTTAGGCGAAGGAAAAGACAAAGAGAACGAAAAGTAAATATTTGTCGTATTCTGACACAACATCGGTGTTTTGCTTCTTTGTTTTTGCGGCAACATTTCCCGCCAAAAAAACTACCCCTGGTGTTGCTAGCTGTGTGATATTTGATTATATTTCATTTTTTCTTCTTTGGCCAGATCAGTTGTAGTGTCTATGCAAAGTAGTAGCCATCAGTGTCCAGTTGCAACGATCCTTCACAGAATCATTAAAACATCTCATATTCTTCAGCGTCCAACACGGTTTCAGATACATGACAATATTACCGGCAACGCTGGACCCTAAGTGATACTTATCTTAGGGGGAAAGAAGGGGATCCTGACAAAAATCTGAAATAAATTTCCCCACAAACAAGTGAAACCACACACCAAGAAATACTTAAACCTAGAATATTTCATCCTCGAATGAAAGCTGGCACTTGAAGTTGCGAAGGGAAACGCAGGCCCCTGGAACTGACATACGCGAAGAGAAAAACAAATAGATAAGCAGCCTTACAAACAGACACACAGAGACGGGGTTGAAAAGCACATATTTGGGTTGTTACATAAATATCTTTTGTTCTAGATATTTACGGTTCATGGCACTTGGCTCGAGACGGCCAGGACTTGGGGCAGCCCGGCGTGGGTCATTACGACTTTATTGTCTCGGTCGTGCGCGGCCGCGGTCGGGACTGCAGGCCGTCCACAGGGATGCTTGAGCGCCCTTTGTTGCTCTGCGTCCGCGCCGTTGTCCTCGCCGCCCTCGGTATTTCCACCAACATCTCATCCGTCCTCATGTGTAAAGTCGCTGCTAATGTTGTGGTCGATGAGTGATATTTAATTACGGTTATGATCATAATTATTGGTTTTACAATTTTTAAAATACAGTACAGGATAATACTGGACGCTTGTTAGTTTCCTTTCCTCAAGAATATGGCTTTGTCCTTTTCTTTCGATCTGTGTCTCCTCTTCATTCGGAAAAGTCTCTTTTGCCGAGATGCTCGGGTACGTCGGGCGTGGCGGGTTTTCTTACTAATGTCTCCTTTGCTCTCTTTTCTCCCCATCACCCCCACCTCTCTCTCTCTCTCTCTCTCTCTCTCTCTCTCTCTCTCTCTCTCTCTCTCTCTCTCTCTCTCTCTCTCTCTCTCTCTCTCTCTCTCTCTCTCTCTCTCTCTCTCTCTCTCTCTCTCTCTCTCTCTCTCTCTCTCTCTCTCTCTCTCTCTCTTTCTCTCTACACACAGACATAAAATTATAGACATTTAAACAGATACACACACAGTTATCTATCTATATCTATTTCTATCTATCTATATATCTATCTATCTGCATATGTATATAAACATATATACATACAGCCATGAATATATATATAAATATATATATATATATGTATATATATATATATATATATATATATATATACATATATATACATATATATAGTGCGTGTATGTGTGTGTGTGTGTGTGTGTGTGTGTGTGTGTGTGTGTGTGTGTGTGTGTGTGTGTGTGTGTGTGTGTGTGTGTGTGTGTGCGTGCATAAATATCCTCCATCTGTACACAAATAAAATCGAAGAGAACTAACTCCGTGAACCTGAAACGAGGCCCACGAGCGCAGCCTGGTCTGCGTGCTCAGGGGCCGCCGTACCAGATCGGTAATGACGCCACGAACGAAGATTTGGGCTTCCCTCGTGCCGCGACTCTTGCTCTTTTCGCAAACACGGAATTGCTCTTCTTCGGCTCCATTTCATTTATATATATATATATATATATATATATATATATATATATATATATATATATATATATATATATATATATATATGTATATACATGTATATATATATACATGTATATATATATATATATATATATATATAGATAGATAGATAGATAGATAGATAGATAGATAGATAGATAGATAGATAGATAGATAGATAGATATTTATACATATATATATATATATATATATATATATATATATATATATATAAGATATATATATTTATCTATTATTTATATATATTATATATATACATTATATATATATATATATATATATATATATATATATATATATATATAATATATATATATATATATATATATATATATATATATAATATTATATATATACACATGCGTGAATATGTGTGTCTGTATTTGTGTGCGTGTGAGTTTGCATATATATATGTGTGTGTGTGTGTGTGTGTGTGTGTGTGTGTGTGTGTGTGTGTGTGTGTGTGTGTGTGTGTGTGTGTGTGTAATATATATATATATATATATATATATATATATATATATATATATATATATATATATGTATGTATGTATATATGTATATGTATATGTATATATATTTACATATATACATGTGTGTGTGTGTCTTTTATTGTTAACACAGATTAGAAAAGAAACGCAAAAATACACGATCAATTGCTTGGGAACTATTTTTTCTTTAATGTGCCGTGAAAGAACCACAATTTGGTACATTCTCCTTGAGTAACCGCTTGGGAAGAATCCCATTTTAGCGAGTGGGTTTGGTAATAATCCCTGTCTACCGAACCGTGACCAGTTTTCCAAACTCCTTTGATGTTTACAATAACTGTGGGTGCGCGGTGTTTTCATTACGGAAAATACGTATTATTCAATGTGTGGGTATTGCATTTATTGACATTTTTTTACACACACATGTATTTACGTATATGTGTGTTTGTGTGTGTGTTTGTTTGTGTGAGTTTGTCTTATATTTGTTTATTTGTTTTTCTATTATTTCTATGTCGCAGATTCCATCGATTAATTTCCAGACTATAATATGTAAACATTCTATTTCTTCTGTTTCTTTCCTGTATCCGTTCTCTTACAAATCCCTGCCTTATTTACGCCATTTCCCCCTTTCCGGGCCGGAGCGTGGGTCGAGAGAGAAGCGGAGCCGAGATGCCTCGTGCTCCTCGCAGCGCTGGCGAGTGTCACGGTTCGCCAGGACCCTGTAGTGAACTTGTTGTGTATGGGTCAGGGATACGGCCTCTATTAACACGTAAATACACCCCACCCCCACACGACCGCCGCAATCACCACGGAATACCAGCGTGTGGAATTGTTAATTGCACACGCTGGATAACTTATTGTGCGTTATTTACGGTCCGGAGAAGTGAAACAATTACAAAGACTTTTGGATGGTTCACTCAAGTCTCGAGTCGGCCGCTCTCTTCGGACGCCCGGGGTGGCCGTGCTTGTTGCGCTGGCGGGGAATATTCATGCTTTGCTTTTCAAAAAATGTGGTGCTTTTGATATCTTTGGCGTGTATGCTTTTCACAGTAGGCGGGGGGAAGTTGTCATTTGTTTAAAACGCGGAAAAAATGTTCAAGAGTTTGGCTGGCGAACTCATATTCAAAGATTACGTTTTAACCAACAGATGCAGTATACACAATAATGATGATGATGACAATAATAATAATAATGATAATAATGATAATAATGATGATAATAATAATGATAATAATAATAATTATTATTATTATTATTATTATTATTAT